AATCGAATACATGGGAATCGATTTAACGAAAGTTGACCGAATCCTAGAACCGGAAGGAAAAACAGCTTATCGGCAATTCTTGATCGTGGTTAATTAACGGCCGCTTTCAAATTCAATTTCGGTTATCTTTATTTCCGTAAAAATTAGTAATAGGAATTATACAAGCAGCGCCGCATCGCATAAAATCGTCGAACTAATGATTTATCCGGGAGAACTTGTTGCGTATTTCGTAAGATGGCGTGTCGTGGCACTTATTAAACAACGATATAAGAAAACGAAGACTCCATTTTCTTTCGATTGAACTTTTTTTTTTTCTTTTTTTTTTTTAATCATAAATACTCGGATCGGATCGAGATACAATCGAAAGAAAACTTTTATTCCACTTTTTCCCTTCGATTGTATTTCACGTTCTTCCCTCTTCTTTTTTGATTTATCTTTAACTATATTTGTATAACTTGCTTTCCTTTCGTTTCCCCTTTTTCCTTTTTCTTGTGATCGTATCAAAAGGATTTCTGTAATAAATAATTCCGTGATAAATAAATATCGACGATAAATATTGAATTCTAAAATAAAAAAAGAAATATATATATATATAAAATTATTGTTGCATACACATTCTAGAACTCCATTCTTTCGTACCAACCGTTTCGTACGTACCTTTTAAAATACGAGTTTCATTTTCTCTCTCCCTTTTGTTTCGCAAGATGTGACATCTTCACTTTATTCGACGACAGTTTATACGAAAGGATCACAATTTCCTCCTCGTTACAATAGGAAATTCCCAGTTAATTCCCACGGTTGTAAATCGTTCCTCTCCCTGCGGAAAGATAAGAAAGATAAGAAAATGTATCGGCCAGATTACATCATTCCTTGGGTGGAAATGCGGGCGAGAGACGAGAACATTCGAAAAGCATTCAAGTGTTATCCCGTGGTAAGAGAACTTTCCAAACGAATACGGGGAGAGTTTAATAATTAACGCGAAGAGAGACAGAGAGAGAGAGAGAGAGAGAGAGAGAGAGAGAGAGAGAGAGAGAGAGAG